GTAATTGTTTCTCTGATACCTCTAAGTTGAATTTTACATGTTTTAATGATGCAGGAAAACTGTAAGGTTTCTTTTTTGCTGTCAGTATGTTTAAAATGATGGATCAGTCTCAAAATGCATCCTTCATTCCACGGAACAAACTCCTTATTCATCTAACTCTGAATTTATTTATTCAAAGTAAATATTTTTATGTGCGCTCCAATTACATTTTAATTTAAAAGAAAGCTTATTGTTTAATTAATTAAACTCTACAGAAATTTCATATGTATTAATACAGAATCAACAATCGTAATTCCATAACATAGTAAAAAATAAATGTTAAAACTGTACAGAACTATAATACCGTAATAGATATATATGTTCTCTGACCCAATTTTAAGTAGATTACATGCGTGCAGGCTTAAGAATTACAGAATCCTCTAGAAGAGTTAAATTATTTTGAATCTCAGTACGATAGTCAAGTTTACATTTTGTTCAAATTAATGAATACATATTGTGAACTGTGATTGCATATTATGTTTTAAATATTTTTGTTTAACATTATATTTCAAAAATGTAGACCTCACTATACATATATTGTAGGCATCAATTGTCGTTTCAGTAATTATTATAAGCAGCTATTACTGTGACATGTAATGAAAACAGAATCAAATTCGATTTTTGCAAATACTAACCTCTTTGTATGTAAACTATTGTTTACTTTAAAAAAGAAATCCAAAGAACATACTAGATTAAAAAGCCAAATGTAGTTATAAATTGTAATAATTTTACTGACAATTTTGTCAGGAGGAACATGTAATCAAGAATGAACATAATGGTTTATAAGTTATTATACTGATCCTATGTAAATTGTATATGTATGTATGCATGTAGTCTATGTGTGGGACAAAGATATTTATTGGCAAGCTTTCTATGGCCATGAGAAATATTAAATCGGGGTATGCAAAACTTAAAATCATATTTCCAATAGTATCATATATCATATAGTATCAATAGAGTTGGGAATATTATAAAAATGTCACTTTCATATTTTAAATTATCCAGTCACTTGATCCAGATTAATTGAACTGCCTCTGATAGATTTATCCTAGTGTAAGAGGTTTATGAGAAATTTAAATGTTGTGTGTGTGTGTGTGTGTGTCTGTGTGTGTGTGAGGAGGGGGGAATGAGAATATTTATATAGTGGAAAAAAGAGAAGTAATCTGCATGATGTTAGCTAATGTGTATTGAATTTTGTTTAAGTTGGTCAGAACTTATGTGAAATGGGTTTTCTCAAGAACCATTTCTAAATATTTCATTAGAATTCTTAAATAAAGAATTAGATAAAAATCTGTAAAAAGAGCATCAATGACAAATATGATGAAAACTACCCAAAGTGAAGGAAGTAATAGTTGATGATACTATGTTGTATTTTTTTAAGGTACCAGGTCTGAAAAGAAAAAGAGTATTTGGCATCAATAGGGTGCATATAGATAGTCCCATCTTTAACCAAATATGTATTTTTTGGGATGCATAATCTCCCAAAAAACTCAACTGATTTTTTTATCATATGTATGATTCCTGTAGAATGTTGGTATGATCATTAAAAAAATAGTTTCTGTATAAAGCGTAGGACTGGAATAAAAAAACAAATGAAAATACACAAGATATATTATGATAATGCATAAATCTTAAACTAATACTAAGTTTGAATACATATTGAAATAGCACTTTACGCCCCTAAATGCCCCTTTTGAAAATATTTGGAATTAATTATAAAATGGTTTGTGGTTGTTATTTTAACCCACATTTAAAAGAAATGATGAGTAAAAGTATGTATAAGGCTAAATACTACTTGCCTAAGTATTAAGTGTCTTTATTGTGGATATCTAAAAAATCATGCCTGATGGCTAACCTCAATCATACATATACACAAAGGAACAAAAAATGATTATGGAGAATGACATTTTGATAAAATTTTGCCTCTTCCAAAGTCACATATGATTTCATTCTGAAAGTACAAAAGGATGGAGCATTTCGCCATTGGTCTAAACCAATGTCTGTGCTTAGCTTATGGTTAAATTCTTAAAAAGTTTTCTGAAGTGACTGAACCTTAGACTTCAAAAGCATATAGTTTTTTTTAAACAAATTTTATTAAGTTTCCAAATTTTAAAAACATAAAATACTTCAAAAGCATATGTATTGTACTTAAGTTGCAATAAACTAACAATAAGTTACCTGAAAGCCTTCTGCCAACCTCATGAGAAAATAGCAGCAGTAGATTATTGAAAAAGTTCCATAGGGATAAATCATAATGCATTTATTTTGAACTTTTTAGCCTAGCTATTATATGTTGGTTAATGACCAAAATAAAGTTAAATAAACATGATGAGAGAGAAAGAGAGAGAGGGAGGGAGGGAGGGAGAATTAGAATTTCACTATAATTTGTGCAGCAGACTTAATATAGATCAGAAGTGTAATATTGCCAAGTGTGATACTGTTAAGAAATAATTTTGATATTTTTTCAAATAATAGCCCTATTTACTATTTAAGTAGCAATGTGTGTGTGTGTGTGTGTTTGTATATGTAGTGTGTGTATGTTTGTATAGGACTGTTTTGTTTTAAAAAGCAGCAATTAATAAATTCCAAACTAAATGAGTAGTTCCAATGACTTTATTGCATATACTAATGAGAATCCAGTCTTAGCAGATGAATTTAATTTATTTAGTAGCTTTTTTAATGGCAATTTTCACAATTTGCCACTGTTTTAAAATCTACACTGCTACATTGGTCAATGTATTCTTTGTCCCAAGAAGTCATAGGACATGTGAACGAATGACATTTCAGAGAAGCAAAGTTACTAAAACTGTTCTGGCTGCAATTAATTTACTGGAAGCCTACAAATAAAAAAAGCTACAAGTTACTACACGTCTCAGGTACTACATGGCTAGAGAAAGTAAGAGGAAGGGTAAGGTCACAGCCTGTCTGACCTGGAAACTTCAGTCTGATTTGTATTGCCCCGAAATTGATGGGGACAATGAGATAATCATTGGAAATTACACTCACCACTGAAAACTGAGCCAAACTTCACTGTATTTCACAATATGAAAATTATGTTGTCCCATAAGAGGGAGGGCTAGAATCTCCAGGGCATCTGGTTCTCATCAGTATCCCACCATGCTTGCAGTCTGGCTTGGCATTCTAACATTTAACCTTCTCAGCATGAGGTGGAACAAAGGGTAATAAAGCTGCAGAAGAACGAAACAAGGGTATAGTGTGCAAAAGAAGCTTCCCAAGTGCAGAAGTGGAGGCATTTAAATGATACATGTACATTGATCTAAAACTACCCAATTTAAAACACCCCACAATCCCAGACTCCACCAGCCACATGTAGAGAGCAGTTGCTGCGCTGATTCTCAGAAGGATGGGAAGGTCCCTTATATGCCATCTATCTATGCCTTTTAGCCTGCTGCTTTCAACTATTGTAAAGATACAATTACCTTGGGAGATTGTGGCAGTTCAGTTGATTAGCGCGGTGAATTAAAAGAATGAGTCACAAATGACATGTCCAGCTCTTCTCTGCTAGGCCTTGCTATTCCCAATGTACCTCACCCTTGTTGTAAGAAGGTCAGAAATTAGAGAGACGTAACAGTTTTCAAGCAGCTAGCACTTAGGAGCAGAATTAACAATCATTCTGTATGTAATTGCCAGTTAGTAAATTGCCTTCCAGACTGTAAAATATAAACTGGTGGGCACCTAAAATTAAATTAATGAGATATTTGCTGCATTTAAAAGAGAACGGTGCAAATTAATAATTGAGTGTAGTACTTGTTTTAATATTTGTCAAGTCATGTATCACTTGCTTGTTTAATGACAATTAAAATAGTTCTTACCTGAAAGAATAAAATCCTGACATATTCAAATTAAGAAGATTTCTTAAGGTTGATTCATCATTTTATTTGCTAGTAGTCATGGCAGTTCTTACACAAAATACATCAGGTTACTTTTTAATGACATTACAAGCCATGCAATGTTATTTGATTATACCAAAATTGTGATTTGTATGGTCCTAAATGAAATTATGTTACAGTTAGTATTTTTAAATATGCAGATTAAAATGTGGGAAATAATTATACAGGTAGCTTTACAAAACTGAATTACTTGGATGAGTACATGTTACTATTTTCTTAGTAAAATGAATTACTGTTTTCAAATTCAGTGAATTTTGCATAACTTATAGACAAAAGAAAAACTTAGCAATGTATTGACTTTGGTTACAACTACAGGTCAATGTTAATGGATATTACTGTTTAAGTTTGGCTTGGTGGTTGTTTTCATCTTAGCTACTTGCTCTTTCCTCCTTTGTTTGGTTAACTTTTGCTCAAAGAAGGAAATAGTAATGCTGAATGTAATTTTTAGCATACATAATCTAAATACAACAAACTAAGAGTACTTTAGAGAAAGCAAATCTAAGAGACATTAGACACAGAGATCCAAATATTGAGTCGGAACTATTTGGCAGACAAATCATGCTATGGATTCCATTTGCTAGGGAATTACATTTGGAGGTCCCAAAAGGTGGACCTTGTCTGTTGTGGCACCTGCTTTAGGGAATCTTCTCCCACTGGAAATGAGGTTAGCTACAGCTAACATTCCTCAAGTCCCTCAAGATCTGATTATGCCATGAGGCCTGGAGGTTCCCAGGACACCAAAGAAATTTTGTGATGGCTCCCTTAATGTGACTAATAACACTCTCTCTTGTTTATATTACCTTTTTAATAGTTATTTTTAAATTGTGGTGTGTTTTTTTTAAATTAAGTGATGTATGCTGTCCAGAGCCACCTTCATGTGAGATTGGGCACCTATACCATATGATAAATGATTTTTTTTAAAAAACTTATTTATTTATTTTTTTAGGCCTGTAATATTTTTCACCTAAGAAAATAACAATTATTTCTAGACACACTCTGCTTCTTTCTTGTGAAATCTTAGAAAATAATCACTTGGTTAACAGAATATTT